GTGTTAGTTTGATGGTCAGCTGAAGATTTATAGTATGCATTTTTCATGGAGACAGTTTTCCCCCTCATGTATAACATACACATCTTGTCCTATGTCCATCTAGTAGAGTCTGTGGGTAATGAATACTGATGCTTTTGTATGACTTGAAACAAAAGCTTTTATTTTTTCACTGTTTTTTAAAAATATGTCAATAAGGTTTTCTTACAGAATCCTGAAGATGCTGCTCTCTTGTCTTCTCAGTTTCATTGTTTTCAACAAGAAGTCTGCTGTCATCCTTATCTTTGTTCCTCTGACTGCTTTTAAGGTTTCCCCTTTTTCATTGGTTTTGAGCATTTTTATCATGATGTGCTTTTGTGTATTTTCTTTAAGCTGTGGTACATTGGTCGGTCCTCTTAGATCTGCAGGCTGGTGTCTAATAATACGAAAATTCTTATTTCATGTATTTCATCTCTTATTAATGTAAAGGAGGAGATAATTTCTACTTCCTAATGTATTGTGTTAGCCAAAGATTCTTCTTAACCAATAAGTTATGGGCTTACTTCATGAAATTCTACAGAGAAAATAAGTTCATCGACTAGTATTAGTATTGCCTCTGTTTTATAAAAGGTAAATACAGGGCGATCTGTTGTTTCATGAACATAGTGCTTCTTACTGTCTTTATGACCTCAAACTTGGCTGTTAGAACTTTTTAGCTTTAGCTTTCCCTTGTTGAAAGTTCATGTGTGTTATCTTTGATGTATAGTACAGAACAAATAGAAATGGATGTGAAGATACTTCCAGGAGCCAGTAAACGATTGCTATTATACTTAGTCTCCTTCCTAAATAAGCAGACATGTAAAGTAATTTAGATATTCCAGCAGGAAGAGCTATTTTTAATTAAAAATAGTGAAATTTTGAAATTCATATATCACTAGTATATGTTTTAAAAGGAAGGGGTTTTTCCTTCTTTGTCTTGTGATAACAGATGCTTACTATACACATGAAAGCTATTTAATAGAACTGTAGTTAGTCATAAATCAACGGGAAAACTACACAATTAAGCAAAAGGTGTCTTTTAGCTGAAGCAATTTCTAAGTCCACTGTGAATTGAAAGGACAGAGATCACTGCTAGGAGCAGACCTAGCATTGTAGCAGATTTTCCAGCTACCGCAGTTACTAATAGTAAGACGAATAAAAAGCCAGGAAATGAATGGTCAGGGATGAACACATGTCCATAACCATTGAGGCCCTCATCCAGGTACCAGTGACCAAGGTCATCGAGAAAAGGGGTAGGGTAAATGAGTTTCGACTATACATGTTCTAGTGCTATTTAAAAAATAGGTAAATTATCCAGGTACCAGTGACATGTGCTTATAAGCCTGGTTATTCAAGAGGCTGAGATCTGAGAATCACAGTTCATAGTCAGCCTGGGCAGGAAATATCCAATAAACTACTCAGGAAAAGCCAGAAGTGGTGCTTTGGCTCAAGTGGTAAAACACTAGCATTGAGCACAAAGAGGCTTAGGGGTAGCACCTAGGCCCTGAGTTCAAGCCTCAGGACCAGCAAAAAAGGCAAGCAAATTAACTGAAGTCATGGTCATCTTCTCTTGAAGAAATCTATTTTAACATTATGTCTTTGGGCTAGCAGCATCTGTCTTCCTTCTGCATTCTACATAAGAACAAATTTTTCATCTGTCACGTTTCATATCATGAATTCTTTCCATATTGTTGTCTGCCCCTCTGCAAGTTATTTATTTCAGTGGTGTTTGGGCCCTACTCTAAGGTAAAGCAGGAGAAGATAATTAACGCTTAGCTGATTATGAAGCCTTGGCTGGCTGCCGTCAGACTCTCACTGTGAGAAGGTGGCATAAAATATACAGAATGGCCCTTTGATATAGTTCTTTGTTCTCAAGGAAAGTAGAATTTTTACCTAAGTTCCAAAGAATTACATGAATTCTTTTCTCATCAAATTAAATCAAAAAGCTGCCCAGGTGGACAGGAGTTACATACCCCCTGCTGAAAAGCTTTCAGTAAGACTTCACTTGTTAGTGGATTTTTTTTTTAAATAGCTATAGAAAAAAATCTTCTGTATTTGTTTCTCTTGTTTGTGATTCTTATTAAAGACGTGTCCATTACATTGTTTCTTCGTGTATCTTTCAAAACTGTATGCCAGAAAACCACTTTCTGTCCTGGAGACTTTTAATTAATTCTGATAGAGAGTAAGAATTTTGTATTTCATGGTGCAAATTGTGGGAGTTAAAACTTCTAACAATGACTAGGGGTCATGTGTTATGGAGATGCTGCTCTTTTTCATGATTTTGTTTTCTATTCCTTCTTTAGTTAATGAGTATATTTAATGTAAGCTGTGTTACATCTGATTTTGGAAAAGCATAGGATTGAAAGCTAAAATTAAAATGATATAGTTTGTGAGAATACAGATATTCATTTGCATGTATCCGCGGTCATCTGTCCTGTACACCTCCATGGTTGTGATTGAAGGGCTGTGGTGGTGCTTGTGCACAACTCACCATATCCCCAAGTAGCATAATCAGAATGAGAACATTTTCTCCTATTGTAGCTATCATTGCTGGGCATTATTTAGATATTTGAAAAGCTATTGTTGCCAGTGGCTCACACCTGTAATCGTAGCTACTCAAGAGGCTGAGATCTGAGGATCAGGGTTTGAAGCCAGCCCAGGTAGGAAAGTTGGTGAGACTCTTATCTCCAATTAACTACCAAAAAAAGCTGGAAGTGGAGCTGTGGCTCAAGTGGTAGAGTGCTAGCCTTAAACAAAAGAAGCTCAGGGACAGTGCCTAGACCCTAAGTTCAATCCCTAGGATCAGCACGCGCGCTACGAGCGCGCGCGCGCGCGCACACACACACACACACACACACACACACACAGCTATTGTCAGAGCTATTGTCTGGTCAGACACTTGTAATCCTCACACCTGTAATCCTAGCCTCTCAGGAAGCTGAGAGCTAGATGGCTGAAGTTCAGAGACAGAAAAGTTCCCTAGACTCCCATTACTAAAATAACCAGCACAAAGCAGGGCTGGATGTTTGGCTCAAGTGGTAGAGTGCCTAGTCAAGCAAGCTTGAAGCCCTGAGTTCAAACCCCAGAACTGCGGGACAGAAAAGAAAAAAAGTTGTTGTCTATAATCGTAATATTAATTCAGTCAGCATCCACTTTTTCTCCAAAACTCCTTCAAGGCCCTCTGGGAGCCAGTGGATGCTAGCTCCCATACACTCTGCTTGGGGAGGCATGCAGGAAGCGGGGGCTACAGAGCAGTCACGGACATGGTAGAACTCCCACAGGGTGGATTTGGCTTGTCGTTAACTGAGACTTGAACCTGAGTAGGAATGCAAAAGATAACAGAAGAGAAATGCTCCTTTCAATATGGGAAAAGCTGGTGGCTCACACCAGTAATGCTAGCTACTCAGGAGGCTGAGATCTGAGGATCATGGTTCAGAGTTAGCCCCGGCAAGAAAGTTGGTGAGACTCTTATCTCCAAATTTAACCACCAGAAAGCCAGAAGTGGCACTGTGGCTCAAGTGGTAGTGTTCGCCTTGAACTGAAGAGCCTCAGGGACAGTGCCTAGGCCCAGAGTTCAAGCCCCACAACAACAACAAAAAAAATTTGGGAAGGGATGATAGATTTGTATTTATATCAGATTTGGAGTATGCAGTTGTATTCAAGTGTGAGAAATATTAATATTTCAAGTGTGGTTATCAGAGCATATAAATTAATACCAAGGAGTCAAATTTATATTGTTTTTAGTCCTAATTACATAATTATTTTCTATATTGACATCATGTAACATAAGCTTTTAGTTCTGCATTTTTATTTTCAATGGGCTAATTTATTTGTTTTAATTACGTGAAGCATAATTACAGGAAAAACTTCAGCCTTCTCTATTCTTGGTAAATGCTATCATTAAATTCTCAATGTTTATACAATAAGTGCATGTCCCATAGGGGGTAACTCTTTAACTTTTCAGCATACTGAAATTACTATGTTTTCTAAGATTTATTGCCTGGAACCCATCAGGTTAATTTTTAACAAATAATGGATTTTAAATAATCATTAAATATGTTAGTATCTGAGGTGTACAGTTATTATTGTTAAATGATCATGGCAAACTGTATCTGTGGCCTAAATGTCTTGATAAGGCTAGGATCCTTTTTGTATATTTAGGCTGTAAAGACTAAGTAGAATTAAGCTTACAATTTTTTTTTTTTTGGTCCAGTCGTGGGGCCTGAACTCTGGGCCTGGGCGCTGTCCTTCAGCTCTTCAGCTCAAGGCTAGCGCTCTACCACTTGAACCATAGCGCCACCTCTGGCTTTTTTTCTTTTTGCTTATGTGGTGCTGAGGAATCGAACCCAGGGCCTCAGGCATACAAGGCAAGCGCTCTACCACTGAGCCACCTTCCCAGCCCAAGCTTACATTTTTATATGGCTTATTCCTAATTCTCAGTATCTCATTGTACTCTGTTTAGTCATTTTAAGATATGAGTGGAGCCGGGCACCAATGGCTCACACCTGTAATCCTAGCTACTCAGGAGGCTGAGATCTGAGGATCGAGGTTCAAAGCCAGCCCAAGCAGGAAAGTTCGTGAGACTCTTATCTCCAATAAACTGCTAGAAAACCGGAAGTGGTGCTGTGGCTCAAGAGGTAGAGCGCTCGCTTTGAGCTGAAGAGCTTAGGGACAGCGCCCAAGCCCAGAGTTCAAGCCCCACCACAAAAAAAAAAAAAATATGAGTTGATTTTATGCTGAGTTCTGTGCAGAAATAGAATATATTCTGATGGTTAGAGCTATCCTGACATATTATTTGTGGAATTGTAAGCTATTGCACAGTTACCTGTTATTACCACAATCCTGTGTGTAGTAAACACAGCCTACATCACGCACTGCCAGTTTGCCAGTGATCGCTCCTCATCTTTCCCGTTTCTATTGATTTAATGGGTTTTATTTCTCTCTGAAGTGTGGGAGCTTACCTTATTCTCCCTTTTGTAAACTAGATGCTTTGTGATGCAGCACCTGGGAAGCTCAGGATTGTGCATGGAGATGTGTTGACATTTAAGATAGAAAAGGCTTTTCCGGAAAGTGTAAAAAGACTCTGGGAGGATGGTAAGTTGGCTGAGTTATTTAGTTTGGGTTTTTTTTTTGTCATTATTTATCCACCTCTTTTGTGATTGTTTATTTATTTTTAATTTTTTTGTCATTCGTGGGGCTTGAACTCTGGGCCTGGGCGCTGTCCCCGAGCTCTAACAGCTCAAGGCAATTGCTCTACCACTTGAGCTATAGCGCCACTTCATTATTTATTCCTTTGTCAAATATTTATTGTATTAGATGTACATTGTAAATTTGTTTTTATATTAAAATATCTGAACAGACATATATTGTGTAATATTTATCCAATTTGCCTTCTTCCTTCTAAAATGTAAAATGTAGGATTTTTTGTTTTGTTTTGGATATTTTTTTGTGCTAGGGCTTGAATTCAGGGCCTGAGTGTTATCTTTTAGCTTTCACTCAAAGCTAGATAGGATTACAGGCTGAGAGCCTATAATCAGTGCCCAGACTGTAATTGCTTTTTAATTCTAATTGCTTTGACTCACATCTTCGTGTTTATTTTTCTGTGCAAATAAACTTGTCATTTTTTTTTTTTTTTTGGTGCTAGTAAAGATGTGCTAAGTGTAATGGGATTACACTCAGTGACTCACCAAGGTTATATGCTTTCAGGGACAAGTGTTACCTGCTCTGTGCCAGCCTGTAGAACACTGCTCCTTGTTTCTTGTTTATCAGAAACTCTGAGAACAAATGAAAGAAAGACAGGGACACATCTGAATCTAGATACTGTGCTCCTATGTCTCTGACCACCCTAGGTCCAGGCTACTGGTGGCCTTCCTCTAGTCTCCCCACTAATGTGCCCTTCTCAGCGCATAGCCCATGGCCTCTGCCCGCACCTCAGCTATGCTAGGACTGCACCGACCTATCTGACTACATTTCTGCATTCATTTAGCTATTCTCCACCTTCTGTCTTCTCTGATCCTAGTACCTTCTGTGTTTACTTTGACATTTGTGAGCTTGCTGTAACCATTCTTTGCCATTGGTTATTTTTGTCATCCGTTTTTAAGTGCTTTTTCTGTCAGTTTTTCTTTCTGGACATCCCATGCTTCAGATTGTCTGGGTTGTTCCACCCCTGTGATTTCGTTTTTCACCTAAATATTGAGGGCATTCACATCCTACATCTAGCCTGTGTCCCTTTCATGGATATCTGATACTCCAGCAGCCCCAGAGGCACTTTACCTCCTCATGTTCAAAGAAAACTATCTTTCTCTCAAATAAACTCTTTCATAGATTTCCTAAACCAGAAATCTGAGGACTTTCACTGACTGACTAAATAATAATTAGATAGAACTTTTCCTTAGTGCTATACAACTGGTTATAAATATATATATATATATATATATATAAAATTCTTTAGAATGCTTTTAAAGAATTAATGGACTAAAAAGTACTCAGCTATATCTTTTTGTATATTTTTGTTTGATGCTATTAATTAATTGTTTTTTCTCTTAATTAAAATAATGTTTCTCATATATTGATGAAGTTATCTGAGGTTTTATTTCTTCCTCTTCTGCCAAACAGATCCTCCAAAGGTACATATTATTGGAAATTTGCCTTTTAGTGTTTCAACCCCACTAATTATCAAGTGGCTTGAAAATATTGCCCTTAAAAATGGGCCTTTTGCTTATGGCAGAAGTCAGATGACTTTGACTTTCCAAAAGGAAGTGGCTGAGGTAAGTTTGAACTGTTTCTGGACATTTTATCACATGATCAAATTCTAAAACAACACTGCAATTTTATGTCTGTCTGAGTGTTCTATGGTAATTTTACACAGGGGGGAAAAAACAAAATCCGAAAGCTTAGGCAAAAGGTAGGCATACAATGAGGACACTGATGTAACTGCTGGAAACTTGTAGAGAGAACAAGAACCAATGTATCAGCCAAAAAAACAGTGTGGAAAATGAGGGCCATTACCTTAGGCAAGACCAGAGAGGAAAGCTGTGCAATATTAGCCACAGATGCGTGCATGAACACTGGCCTGCAATGCCTTAGAACTGACTCTTTGCACTCAGTAGGATGAGAGTCAAACAGTGTGATAATTACTTGGGGGCAGTATATGGACTTTAACCCTACACACATGTGCATGTGCGCACACACACACACACACATACATATGCACATGTGTGCACACAACTCACCAATTTCTGCTGCCCCTTCCCATGGTAGTGTTCCAAGTTCATCTCTCTAGGAAGGAAACCTCCAAGGTAGACAAGAGCAGCTTTTGAGCTGCAGCGGTCCAGAAGGGGCTGTACACACTCATTGTTCAGCCTTACTCTGACAACAGCTCCTGACTAGTCCTGACCTCCAAGGCAATGAGAACTGGGAATTTTGAATTCATTGTTCTCTGCGATCTGGGTCCCTTAGATTTATATCCATATAAGTCATACAGTGTAGGTTTGGCCCCACATTGAGCTGTATAGGGATGTATTCACACAGTATTCATTCTTCTTACCTTGAACATCTTGTATAGTAGTTGCTTTCGTGGTTGCTCCTGAGATTTGTAATTTACATAGCTATGTATATTATGTACTGCTTGTCATAATTTGTCCAGGCTCCTGTTTTGGGACTTGGAATTAGTTTCAGTGTTTTGTTATTACAAGCAAAATTGTCATGAACATTCTTATATTTATGTCACCTGGGCCATGAAAATGAGATTTGTCTAGGAATGAGCCCAGCAGTGGCATTGCAAATCTTCACTCTTGCTGCGTAATGGTCTCTAAAGTCATTATGCCTATTTTCATTCCCACTAGCTGTGTATACGTGTGTGTATGTGTTCGTGTGTTCATTTTGTTCCATATTCTTGCTAGGACTTGCCAGACATACACTTTTTTTTTGTTAATCTGGGAGTAGTGTCATGATACTTTACTTCATCTTTCTGATTTTTAATGAATTTTATATGTTTACTAGCCTTCAAGTCACTTGATGTTTTACATATGAACTGCTTGCATTTTGTTCATCTTCTCATGGGTGGCTGTCCCTGTTCCACTGATTTGGTAGTCTGTACATGTTCTCTGTTCCAGTCCTTTATTACTTATATGTGCTGACATTTCCATGTCTGCTCTGTTGCATGTTGTCATTGTTGAAAATCAGGAGTGGTATTTTTTGTGTCTTGAGATCATGAAGGTACCTTTCTGTTACATTCTAAAAGCTTTATGTTTAATATTTCAGATTTCTACCCATAGTCCACTTGGGGTTGATTTATGTGTTTGAAATGAGGAACCAGTTTACTATTTTTGACATATGGGTCCCAATAAGCCCATTTAGTCCTATTTATTATCACCAGTGGCCTCTAACAATACTTCTCTGCAAAAGTCATATAAGCTTTGCTCTAATTAGAGACACCAAGAAGAAAATGATGTGAAATCCAGGAAGCAGAATTCCCAGTATGGACCAGAGAAAAGGAACTCCTCAGAAAAAACATTCAGATCAGAGCCAATTAAGAACGCAGAACATGATCATATAGATCATATTTACACGTATTGAAAAATAGTTACACAAGTTTGGGATTGAACTACTGCTCAGTACAAAACTAAATGTAGAAGGGAATGAAACAAAAGGTGTTGGGCTTTTTTTCCAAAAAGTTTTGTATAGCTAATGTCATTATCGTAAGTGAATTTACCTCGAAATGTAGTGAATTTCACGTCTTTTCTTGAGGATCACACCTGCAAGAATACATAAGTGATGAAAAAGAATGATGAGAAAGGCTTGCCCACCAAGTGTTAGGCTGTATGTGAAGCTTGCCATACATCAGAAGGTCCAGAATCAGGCAGCCTGGTTATGATAATGCTCAGATCAAATACTGTGAACCTGTGACTATTTCATTAACGTCTTCTAAAAGCTCATGTAGTAATTATAGGCAGGCTGAACTTGACATAAGTCATAGGCTTGTTGAAGTCATGGTGTTCAGGATTTCCATGTTGTTGGGCCTGTCGGTTTTTTTTGTTTTTTGTTTTGTTTTTGTTGGTTTGGGGGCTTGAACTCTGGGCCTGGGCACTGTCCCTGAGCTCTTCAGCTCAAGGCTAGTGCTCCACCATGTAAGCCACAGCCCCACTTCTGGCTTTTTCTGCTTCTGTGGTGCTGAGGAATTGAACCCAGGGCTTCAAGCATGTGAGGCAACTACCATACCACTGAACCACCTTCCCAGCCCCAGTCCTGTGGTTTTTCCTAACAGGGTCTAACATCAACCTCTTTGTCTTCTGTCATTTCCACGAGGCAAGGGCTGTTCATGAGCACCTCCCCAGCAGGAAAGGAGACACCTCTACACTCATTATATAATTAATTGCAAAAGATGTGTACCTTCTCAACTGTAAGCCTAACTTTTCTACTTAAACTTATTTTAGATGAATAAGAGAAAAAAGTTAACATTGTCCTTGTGAATTCTTTGACCCCTTGTTTTTTTCAAACTCAATCAGAATGCTTTTAAAAGCTCAGGGGTTAGACAGGTTTCCTTTTACTGAACATTTTTAACTGCCTTATTTCTTGGCCTTTGTTGTTAAAATCATCTATCCTAATGGATTTTGAGATTCATAGCTTCACCTATAATATTATCTATTTTAGAAATCGCAGTGCATAATAGTGGTTGGCAGACCATTTAACTCTTTAAGCTAGCTTTTAATGAAGTCTTTCATAGAGTTTCTTGTCTGTGACTTGAATTTGAATAAGTTGGGGACAGTTACATGTGCTGCTTGATTCCAAACTAAAGCCCTTGGTTCACATGTCTTCATTTCCACAATCTAGGCACAGAAATGGCTGTAGACTGAGGCATCACCCCTAACTACTGGATACTTTGCTTTCTAGATGAAATATGTATTTTTACATCAATTAGAATATTTTCTTGCCTTTTAGGCTTCCTTTTTTTAGAGAGCTTTTAAATTCTTAAATTCATCATTTGAAGCACATCTTTCAAATGTAAAGTAAAACATTAACTAGGTCTTAAAAAGAAGGGAATCCAGAATGAAATAATAATTTCAAAACTGTAGGCAATTCTTAGGTTCATTTTATTAGTTTTGTCATTTTGTCTGTGCTACATTTGATTTTAAAGATCTGTTTTGAGTTGTGTCAGTTGGATGTTACGCATTTACAGTGCATTTGGAATTTTTTACGTTAATTTTAATAAGAAAATTAAACTGATTTTTTTTCTTCCTGAAGAAGTATTTCTTACATTTGGCATCCCAATAATTTTAGCTGACCTGTTTAAAATAAAAAGAGGGCACTAGGTTGTGGTAAAACAAGGCCTGGCTCTCTTTTGAGACTTTCTCTCCCAGAACCAATTTTGTAATCTTAAGACAAAGTTCTAACAAGCCAAATAATGTGGTTTTCCCACCGAGAGCAGGTTAGAAGCAACAAAGAGCCTCGTTGAAATGTTCTTCACGTGTTAGTGAAACAGGAAGCTTCACTGAACCCAGCTCAGCCAACAGCACCCAGTGCCCAAAGTACTTCTGACGGTTTAGTGCAGTTCTAGCTACTTTGAGTGACCAGGATGTTCCAGTCTTCCCTGGGTTTTATAACATTGACCCTGAATACTCACAAGAGGTTTGGATTGTCCTAAGAACACAGAACAGGCCGACCCTTCTGCTTACCACTCAGCTCCAATATACTGCTGTATTTTCACCTCTTTAAAGAAATAAAACATTGTAAATGTGTTTGGATCCCTCTTTTATTCTCTTTTTTTTTTCCCCCTGCTCTGGATGAGCCTCATTACCCTTAGCACATTTTCTCCTTGTTACTGTAGGTGTCTGTGTGCACAAAGAACAACAGGAGAGTCTTAAGGTTTGTAGATAAATATCATTAGATCATACTGATTTTCTACCACTTTTATTTTTCCTTTAGTTTGAAAATTATCCTATGACAATAACCTCTTCTATTCATTATAATTATTATTTTGTAATCTCTTGGCAAAATTACCATAATTTACTCCCTGTTGTTGAACTAGGTGTTTTTTTTTCATAATGTACATCATGTTACATTGACCATTCTTACACATGTCTCTTTGTGTAAGTGTATAAACTATCCTAAGACACATTCCCAAAGGTAGACCTAAAAGGTCATGTGGATTTACACAAGGTCAGTAAGCTGTTGTGCATACTGCCCAGTTATGTGTATTTATACCAATTTTCACTCTCACTAGCCTGAGAGCTTGGTATTTATCTCACAGAAATGACTCTACATCTCATTTTGGTTTTAATTTGCATACCCATTCTTTGTTACTTGGTTGAACATATTATGGTGATGATTTATTTGGGCTACTCTTTTAAGCTTCCCTCAGCAGTCTGTCTGTCTGTGGCTTATCCTATTAATGGCTAGTAGTAGTATGAATGCTAATCCTTTGGTTCTTCAGAGGCCTTCTCTCAGGCTGTTATTTAGCTTTACAATGTTTGCATTATACATATATTAATTTTAATAGTAAAATGTATTAGTCTTTTGTGGCTTCTGCTTTTGTATCCATAACACATGGGGGTCGGAGATAATATACTTAGGAAAATCTTAAGGTTTTGCTTCTCACTTAACCATTGATTCACTTAGTATTTTCATTTATGGTACAAGGTTGGGGCCAGATGGAATGATCCATCCTTTTCCATTAGCAATCGATGTGGTACATATATTATGGGTCAGATGTCCATATCTGCTTGGGTCTTTGGCAAAGCTCCATTCCATTGGTCTGTTTGTGCCTCTAGTACTACTGCCTTACCTTTGATGTTTAGAGTTCTTGGCCTTTAATTTTATGTAGGTTTTATAAATGCCAGATGTCAGTTACAGGTGTATATGTGTGTGTATTTTTTTCTTTAAAATCTCCGATTTTTAATAAAATTGCATTGGAATTATGAATTTGCATATATCTAATATTTTTGAAATAAAATATTCAGTTGCTTGAAAGAATAATTTCTTACACTTTTGTTTTTGTTTTGCAAATTTATCAATCAAGAGTGACTTCATTCGGGCTGGGAAGGTGGCTCAGTGGTAGAACACTTGCCTTGCATGCTCGAGGCCCTAGGTTCAATTCCTCAGCACCACATAAGAAAAAAGAAAAAAGCCGGAGGTGGCACTGTGGTTCAAGTGGTAGAGTGCTAGCCTTGAGCTGAAGAGCTGAGGGACAGCACCCAGGCCCAAAGTTCAGGCCCCATGACTGGACCCAAAAAAAAAGAAAAAAAAAAAAAAAGAGTGACTTAATTCATCAAGAACTCTTTTTTTTTTTTTTTTGTACCAGTCTGGAGCTTGAACTCAGGGCCTGAGCACTGTCCCTGCTCTCCTCTTATTCAAGGCTAGCACCCTACCACTTGAGCCACAGCTTCACTTCCAGCTTTGTTTTGGTGATTTTAGTGGAGATAGTCTCACAAAGCCAGGTGCTGGTGCCTCACACCTCTAATTATAGCCTGTCAGGAGTCTGAGAACTGAGTGTTGTGGTTAAAGCCAGCCTGGGAAGGAAAGTTCTTGAGACTCTTGTGTCTAATTAACTACCAGAAAACCAGCTTAAAGTAGTACAGCACTAGCCTTGAGTAAAAAAAAAAGAAAAAAACAAAAAACAGCTCAGGAACAACAGCGTTTTAAGCCCCAAGACCAACCAAAAAAAGAGTTTCACTGACGATTCCTCTGGGAGCTGGCATCAAACCACGATCCTCAGATCTCAGCCTGTTGAGTAGCTAGCATTACTGACAAGCCACCGATGCCCACCTTCGTCAAGGATTCTTTAATATGCAGTTTATTACATTTAAATAAAAGAAAGCGTTAAATTTTTATTCATATATTGAAGTAGTTTAGAAAATTAAGTATTTAAGCATCTTTAGTTTTTCAATATGCTCATAAATTTCATCATCAAATACTTATTGATTAGTTGTTTTGGGCAAGACCTTTTAGAATGAAATGGTGGTTTCAAAATCCCCAATAGTTGCTATTAAGAAAGTTTTCTTAATGACTTTTTAATGTATTGTTCATGATAATAATTGACAATTAATTAAAAGGTGTTCCTTGGTTGATAATGTTGGAGGGAAATATTCCCCAGGTTGGCTACATGTCATACCTCAGCCTGTATTCTTACAATTTGCCATAAATAATCTAGAATCAATAATAATGGGAAGCTGGCTCCATCCTGTCTGGTCTAATTGGATTCATTACTTACTGAAATACAATTTTGTCCTTCTGTAGAGACTCGTAGCTACTACAGGAAGTAAACAGCGCAGTCGCCTTTCCATTATGGCCCAGTATCTCTGCACTGTCAAGCACCTCTTTACCATTCCAGGGCAGGCCTTTGTCCCCAAACCAGAGGTAAGCGGCTGCTTTTTTTGTTTTGTTTTATTTGTTTGTCTGGAGGCTCTCTTCCTGAGCCTCTTTGTGCCCAAGGCTAGCATATTATCACTTGAGCCACTTCTGGTTTTTCAGTGGTCAATTGGAGATAAAGAGTCTCATGAGGACTTTTCTGCCCAGGCTGGCTTTGAACCGCAATCCTCAGATCTCAGACTTTTGAGTAGCTAAGATTACAGGTGTGAGCCACCGGCGCCTGACACTTCTGCTGGTTTCTAAGCAGGCATATTTTTATGTCATAAATAGTATAAAGTTACAACTGTGTTGTAATATTTGTTCCCCAGGATGCATCATAGGAAATAATCTCTAGGATCTAATATTTATTTACATGCAAATCGTATCATAACTTTTTTAAAACATATCTTGACTCCCCCACGGTATAACCCCTGTTTTCACTGTCTTTGATGTTGGTATAATTTTGGAAGGGGAAGGGAAAAAACAAATTATTTAAATAGGGATACAGGTGGACCCATTGCAAGATGCTATGTCAAAAAACGAACTTTACAACTTGGGGGTCAGAGTGGGGCGTGGAGTGTAGTTGTGGAGAGGTGGGCAGGGATGGTAGGGGAAAAACAAAGAAAGAGGCAACAATGCTTGATAAGTTTACTCATTACCTTGCTCATGTAATTGTAACCCCTCTGTACAGTATTTTCACAATAAAAAAACTTATTTAAAAAAAAAAAAACCTATCTTGAAGAAGAACCCAAAATTGCAATACAAATTGGTATTCTCAAATTGTTCTTCTTGACTAAATTCAGGGTTTTTGTGGTATTAGTCAGCTTCATTATCATTATCCCCTACTACTCTTAAAAGTCTCCCAGGCTGGGTGCTGGTGGCTCACGCCTGTAATCCTAGCTACTCAGGAGGCTGAGATCTGAGGATCGCGGTTCAAAGCCAGCCCGGGCAGGAGAGACCGTGAAACTCCTATCTCCAATAAACCACCAGAAAACCGGAAGTGGCGCTGTAGCTCAAGTGGTAGAGTGCTCGCCTTGAGCTGAAGAGCTGAGGGACAGCACCAAGGCCCAGAGTTCAAGCCCCACGGCCGACCAAAAAAAAAAAAAGTCTCCCAGTATGGAAAATAAGTTATATGGCTCTGTGGTCATTGAGATAAGAAATCAAAATCAATCAGTGGCTTCTGATACTTAGAAATAATGCTATATCAGGCATTGTTTCCTGGCATGAAGGTTTTTCATATTTTTGGGCTATTAAACTAGGTTTTTGCTCCTATGTGCTAGTTTCACGAGTAAGTTTTAACTATAGAAACTAAGTTTCTGTGCCAAATTTTTTTAAAGCTGGTGTCTTTTAGTGAAAACCATTACTTGAGACGTTATTGCAGAAGCTGTGCTAGGAAAACTCATCCATTTCCTCACTGAATTGAGCACCTGCTTCTAAAAAAGCACCAGGCTTGGGGACGCAGCAATACAGAGGGGACAACAGGATGTGCACCCAGTCATGAACCAAGCCTGCCCTAGGCAATCACAACATGATGAGGAACAAAGATACAGCAGATAGATGTAGAATGAGAACTCTGGCCCATAATAGAAGCCGATTTATGTATGTTGGAACACATTTCAGACAACTGCAAGTTCTTGCCACCATTGTAATGCTTCTTCTGCCATTTTTGCCTCCCCCATTTGGGAATTCAATCCCTCTTCCCCCTATATAATGGATTTCATTGTCAGTTCTATGCTGAATCAGCCTTTAAAGGTTGCTGTCTGTACCCACTGCCTAGTATCCATCATCTCAGTCACCTCATGCTTGCTCTGTGCCTGGGACCATCATTATCTCACATTTTCACGTGAGCAAGCCGAGTTGCTCTTTGAGTCAGTATACTCTGTGGCCTTGAGGTCTTTGACCCAGGCAGTTCAGCTCTGAAGCCTACGCCCTTCATGTGGAATCACTTCCTTACTTCCTAGTGGGCTGTCGTGGGCAAGTTAGATGACTCACTGGATCTTGCTTGCCTTCAGTTCCTGTACTCTACTTAGAATTGTGCTCACCTGGTAGTGTCCTTAGGAAGTTTTAAGCTAGCCACTGTATGAAAAAGGTTTAGAGCTGGACTACCACTTGGCAACCTCTGAGGGTTCACAGGGAAGAATGATCTGTTGTCTTCCGTGGAGATGTCACCATGTGACCCCAAGACTTGTGAAATGGAGCGTTTTCTGCGAGCAGAGCTAGCGTGTCCTTGGAGAGTCCGGATTGCATTCTCTGAGGGGACTCATGTGGGCCACAGTGGATGGGGAGGAGAATGGATTGTGGGTTAGGAGGCCCGCGGCAGAGGATGCGCCACACAGGGAGAGCTGTGACGTCGCCATTCCTTACCACTGTATCCACTCTGTCTGTGGAGGCTCTACCTTTATTTTGTGTGAAGTGGCTGCCTCTTGAGAGTTTGTATCATGCCTGAGTCTAGTTAGGAAGAAAACATTCCTAAGGTAAATAAAAGTTATTTATCAAAGTGGACTTTTAGTATAAGACATGTGGTACTGGTCTACAACACTGACACATTCAGCTAAGGGAGAGAACCATATGGGTTCCAAGCAGTCCTATGAAATTAATTTTCAAATAAGTACTCTTTTCTAATATGGCATTTTGCCTTATTTAGAAAATATTATTTTGACCATTTAAAAGGAATAGCCATTGTAAATAATCACTTAAATTTTTGATGAAATGGTTCCCTTCTTAGTTCTCATGAAATAGTTTCTTTTCATTTTTGCTCTCTTGTTAATAGCCATTATAGTAAAGCGAATAAGCCTATAAAATAGGTGTAAAATATTTTAGTCTCTATGTCTTATGCATGCACATAAAATATCCTTCCCAGACAGGTGTCAGTCGCTTACATGAGTAATCCTAGCTACTTAGGAGGCTGAGATCCGAGTGTTGCAGTTCAGAGCCAGCCCAGGCAGGAAAGTCCGTGAGATGCATATCTCCTATTAACTATCAGAAAACCAGAAGTGGAGCTATGGCTCAAAGGGGTAGAGCACTAGCATTGAAAAAAGCTCAGGGACAGCCCACAGGCCCTGAGTTCAAGCTCCATGACTGACCAAAACAAAAATATCCTTCGCCCTTCCTATTATTAAAGAACAAAACCAAAAAAGGCTTTTTGCTTTAGGCATTGAATTATGAACAATTACTAAATATATGTTAACAAATAAGTGATAGAAAACAACACTGCAATATTACCTGTACACCTATACACAGTCCAGTTTTTTTTTACTATAACCTATATTTACAAAGCATTCCTTATACTTTAAAAATTATTTCATGGGGGGGGAAGGGGGGAGCAATGGGTGGGGGGAGTGGGATATGGGAAGGGATGGGAAGGGGAAACAAAGGAGGAAGCAACAATCCTTGATAAGAAATGTACTCATTATCTTGCCCATGTAATTGTAACCCCTCTGTATGGTATTTTCATAATAAAAAATTAAAAAATTATTTCACATCTATTAACTAATCAGAACTGCTCATCTATTCAAGAACAATATTTTGGTAGCATGACCAAATTTAAGAATAAAAACACAGCTTAGAAGTAACTTACTCTCTAGGCTTACTGGTGCGCACCTGTAATTCCAGCACTTGGGAGGCCAGGGTGAGAGGATTGCAAGTTTGAGTTCAGCCTGGAATATATAGTAAGATCCTACATATATAGTAAGGTCCAAAAAAAGAGTAATGTACTCAGTAATAAGTGTCAAATAAAGTGAAATGGGGTAAAATTGTTGTTAGAGAGCTGAACTTAACCTGGAGTATCCTTTTGCAGAGAGAGTCTTTGGGCATTTTAAAACAAACATGGATTCTCACTTTGTGCTTAATGCTTTGAAAGTCCTCGAGATTGTCGTAGGTGTTTGGGTTAGTTTTTCTCTGCTGTAGCAGCACTTAGCAATTTGTGTTTTCTGCCTAATCTCAGTTTTCATGACTATCCATGTAGACAGACTTTTCAACTGAGAACTGAGCAGAGGGCTCAGGCTGGGGGCTCGGGCAGCACCTGCACGAGTGGACGGCCTGCCATTCCCGGGCCCTTGTGCCTTGTGCGTTTAAAGCAAAAGCAGGTTCCTTGGGCACTGCCTGCCAGAGGGCAAAGGCAGATGGTGTTCTTTATTAACACCAAGGCAAGAAGCTTTCTTACTTGGCAGTTAAGTTCTAGTATAAAATCCAGTTTAGAAGCGGTAGCCGATTTTATAAAGCAAGAAGATGATTGTTGTTGGAACCTCTTTTGATGATAAACCTTTAGATAAAACATGAAAGCATAGTGGAAATCTGAAGATATTGAAGACATGTAATGATAGGTGGTCTTTTTAGCATTTAAAACTACCTAAACTACCTTAGAGGTTTTTTTTTGCTGTCTTTGTAGAAGAATAGAAGCATAAGCCTGATTTTGTAATCTAAAATAAAACCCTGGCAGCACACAGGTTTGTTGCATATTCATTATATAGCTGTTTACACATAATCCTTCAGGTTGTACACTGAATTCTCTAGCTGTGTGGCAAAGATACGTTCCTGCTTGAGGGGGTGGAGCCAAGGTTCTGGATTCTTCTTTGCATAGGAAGTACAGAAGATGATACCCGAGATAAACAGTAGCATTGCTGAGACGAATCCAACATAGACAGCTCCTCCAGGTTCATGTTTGTTGTTTTCAGGAACTGTCAGGTCCAGAAATGAGGCTATGATCTCCTTCATGTACCACACTGTCGGTATTAAACCCAAGACCCCTGCAGCCACAAAGCAGACCCCTCCGGCAAAGGAAGCATGCCTCTTGGTTTCCCTTTCCCCTCCTAGGTGAGTGCATTTCATCCCTACGACAGAAGTGCAGATGCCCAAGGCGGAGAGAACGCATGCCAGTACCATGGTGGCCCGGGCTGCCTGCACATGGCCGGGGAGAGACAGGATGGAGTATTTCAGGGTGCAGCTGAACATCCCGGTGCTGTACCACGTGCAGTCCATCCACAGCCCTTGCAGATGGAGGATTGCGGTGA